CTTTTTATGCTAAAATGTAAATGTTGTTTGTAATTTACGGGCAAGTTATCATAATTTCCACATACAAATTTCAGAAGCATTGTCACGTCTGGAGATAAACACTCCACAAGCAAAGAAGAGGTTAGTTCTTTTTTATTATCCTATGTCCAAAGAGCCATTTCTTTCCATTAGAAATTGGATATTAACCACTTAATCTCATCTTTTATACATATCTATATATATATATATACATGTATTAGGTTGAAGCATGATGTTAAACACATTCTTGGATGCACTTAATCTCATCTTTCATATATATAAGGTTGAAGCAGGATGTTAAACACATTCTCAGATGCATTCGATCGCTTCCTTCTTATAATATTACCAGTATAACTAGCATCCTAACTGGGGAGGACTGGATGAATTCTGGGTGAAAAAATTTAGAACAGAAGCTAATTTATGTACGTTATTGTAAAAATAGTTAATTGATTGCTTTATTGATGGAAGGCTAACCCACAATTGGAGAAAACGTTTGAGGATGTCAGAAACAAGTCTTAGAAAATGCCCTTTACATTATAGAATTAATTGAATTGAGGTAATGAGGTTGGAAACATACCTTTCCTAAATTGTCAGTATGTTTATATGTTATATGTATTTCTGTTTTTCAATCATCAAAAATGGTTATGAAAATTATAAGTGGGAAGTAGGAAGAAGGTACAGTTATACAAACTTGGTTTTTCTTTTAGTTGTTTGATATCAATTTTGGACACAACTTGTGATTTTGTTTTATTTGTTTATGTTTTTCCTTGACGTTATAGTTGTTTGGAATTTTGGATATCAACAATTTCTTGCCCCTGTAGACTTTTACTTTTCTTGAGGGTTGGAGTTATCTGAATAATCCAACACCATATTAATGAAGCATTTTAACTAGAGTTGTTTTTTCCTTTTTCCTACATGAGTGAATAGCAGTAATTCTGTAATGATAGGAAAATAAATAAATAAATAAATAAGAGGAAACCCTGAGAGGAAGGAGATGGGCGGCAGAGAAGAAAAGAAGAAAGAGAAGGAGGGGAAGAAGAGGAAGAAAAAAGCATGCTGCGTGCAGGGAGGGCCGTGATCTGGAGGCCAAAATCCCTGTGAGTGGCTTGAAGGAAAAGAACCTACGTCGGGCCTGGTTGGGGAAGAAGATCGATGCAGCATGCGGGGTCCAGCCGAACGGAAGCAGATCTTATACCCGGTGTGACCAGATTCGCGTCAATGTTTTGGTTGAATAAATTTTAGTGATGGATAATTAATGTATGATAATGACAGTAATTTGATAGTAATAATACATGATTGAAATGACAAAATTTTTTATATTTGAATGATTGTTTATTAATACATGTCAATGACAGCTGTTTTATTTGAATAATAGAATGTTATGATTATATTTTCAGTCAAATTATTAATTTATCTTTATCTTATTTTATATAATAGTAAATGATATACAAAAAGTATGTAATGAAAAAAATAAATAAATTATATAAGAATATAATTAAACTTTTATTTAAATAAATAATTATTATACAATCAAATTAAATTTTTATATTTAATAAAATAAATAATTATTATTTATATTATCATATTAATTTAATTTTAATGAAAATAAAATTCTTTATATATTAAAAATAAATGATTGTAATTATATATTATTATATTAAATTTAAAATTATTTTAAAAAATAAAAAATTAAAATATGTTTAAAAGAATCATTTATTTAGGATGGTATAACAAGAATTAAGCATATTTTACGAGGGCATAACCGAAAATATAATTATTTGTCTGTCACATACTACCAATTCGATGGTTTTTAAAATTCATCCAAAATGCGTCAGTCAGATACCGTTTACTACCATCTCATCAGGTTAGAAGTTAAAAAAAAAATAGAATTTTATTACGTCCATAAAGTATTATACATTGATTGATTACCATTTATCACTATCCAAACAGATGGTAAGATGAGGGAGATGGCGTGGTGACGGAAAGATAGATCTTGTACCCGGTGCGAATAGATCCGCGCTAAGATGAGAGGGATTACGCGATGACAAAAGTAGATCTTGGCATGCGTCGCCACGGCGGAGAAAGAAACTAGAATGTGTTGCGTGCAGTGGGAAAGGAGTGGCTAGATTGCGGGGAGCTCGGATCCCCACAGCTTTTCTGATTGAATTTTAGGTAAAAATTGAGTCAGTTTTTATTTGAAGATTTTATCGTTTTTCTAAAATGGCTCATTACGTTAAAATAATTGTTTGAAATTTCACAATTTATTTTTAAGTTTATTTCGATAAATATTTTCTGAAAACTAGCATATATATGTTGAAAGTGTGTGATTCTTGTAATGGAATTGAGATGAGTATATATATGCTGTTGAAAATGTGGAAGATAACGTATTTGGGTATGCAAATGTAGAAGCTGCGTACATGCAGATTTAAAGTACAAATTTATTTATGTGTATATGTTTTGTATGGATATAAACTGTGTGCACTTTGGATACAGAGGTATATAAAGAAATTGTACATTTGTAATTATATATATGAATGCACGCTATGTGTTTGCGTTTTATATATTTATCAGTATTATGAGACTATAGTTAATATATATGAAATAGTTTGTCTTAAATTATAATTGTAAGTAATATATATATTGTAAGAAAGTATATATATGCATAATTATGGTTAAATACAACGGTATGAATGTAAATATATATAAGTAATATGTGTAGATTCAAATTGTGGTCACTTGCTATTTATATAATATGTTTGGTGCTTGTGAATGTTTAGGGGGGTGTACGTATGTGTGCAAGGTTGCAATGGAAGCTGGGTGCATACATGTAACGATAGTGTACATGTTTCCGTTAAGTTCTATTAATAATTCCTTTAGAAATTTCAAAGGTTTTCAGTATGTGTTCAAATCTATTCCTGGCTTGACTATTACACGTATATATATGTGTGATGAATGTGAAATATGATTCGTTTGTTAGAGCATTCATACCAGATGGGGTATGAAGATGCACATGTGATCTAATTATTGGTGCTCATACCGGACGGGGCACAGAAATACATATATGATACAATTATTGGTACTCGTATTGGATGGAGTATGGAGATGTCAATGAGGTACTCATTCTGTACATAGTATGAGAATGCTTGGATAATATATTGAGTGGTACTCATACTAAAAGGGGTATGGAAATGTCAATGAGATACTTATATTGTATAGAGTATGGAGATATCCGGATGATATATTAAGTAGTATTCATACCGGATGGGATATGAGGATGGCAATGAAGTAATTATATTGTACGGAGTATGAGGATACTCAGATGATATGTTGAGTGATACTCGTACCTGAGGGGGTATAGGGTTGCCAATGAGGTACTCATACTGTACGGAATATGAGGATGTCTGGATAATATGTTGAGTGGTATTCATAACGGACTAGATATAGGGATACTAGTAAGGTATTCATATCATACGAGGTATGAGGATGCTCACGTGAAGCATAAATATATCTATGTTTGAAATGTGCAACACGGAAATTGTGGTAGGTGCAAAGTGTTTCTGAAATCAATAAATATGGGACAATAAGTAATAGTAAAAGAATAGTGTATGTGAAATCAATATGCGTTGTGTAAGTGGTACTGTAGTTAAGTAAGAGATAAAGGATATGCTTGGAATGAGTAATGAAAAGGATGATGTTTTTTATTGTTTCTTAGTTTATATTTGACAATAATGATGACGAATATAATTGTCTTTTAAATTAGATTTTTTAAAAAATAAAATATGTATTTCTTTTATCAAATTTGTATGATTGTTTGTTTACATGTGTATATTTTAAAACTATCTTATTCTTACTACGTTCGTGAAGGTCACCCTAATTCACACTCCCTAATGCTGATTAGTCAAATCAGGAGTAAGTTTAGAATTAAATGAAGTCCTTAAAAAATCTTCAGTAATTTTAGAAGTTTGTTTATATAGTATATGTAAATATTATTTAGTGATGTAATTTATATATTTTTGCGAATTTCGTGACTTATAACTTCATTCAAGAGACATATTATTTCTTTATAAATTTTAATATAATATTACTTTAATTTATCAAATTTTATACGTGTAATAACGTTCATTTTTCAATAAAAAAATACATACTATTACGAGTTCACTATGTAAACCCTTTAAATTTCTGTGCACGTTCGATCATGTAAATTCAATTTCAGTTTCTTCCATTAGTTGTCAAAGCTGATGGCAGTTGAAATTTTTTGTGCCTGCATGTTTTTCAATGGTTGGGTGGATTTACTTCAAACAGAAGGTCCCAAGGGGTGGAGCATTTTCTTTTTTCTTCGACATAGATGCGTTCATTTTTATTTGTAATAATAACAGTTTGAAGTATCAAAATTTATATCAACCAACCATGTCTTTTACTCTTTACTCTTTACTCTTTTAGTTTATCAAAATTTATATTATGGGGACCCTTTTTTATAAAAAAAAAAAAAAATTAATTTGTAAAGTGGGCCAAAATCTAAAAATTAAAATAATAATATTAAACATTATTATTTTTCGTTAGAATTTTATTGGATTAGTGATGTGATTATTTCTTAGAGTTGTTAATTTTAATATTAAAATGTTATATTTTATCAGTCATTTATATAATTTTATTGGTACAAAATGATTCTAATGGTTGAAATTTTGAAGTTCATCAATTTATTAAATACAAGAAACATCAAAATATTATTAAAAAATTATAAAATGTTAATTAGAACACGGAATCACAGCTGTTTATTTATGACTCTTTTGAGTCACTAGCATCAGCGGCGTCTGATTAGCCATGGCCGACCGCATATTAGTTTGACTTCCACAAAACACGCTCGGACATATTCTTATGACACGTGGCACAACTGGGGCCGCTAATTTGCCACAAGGAAAGTGAAAAGAGTTCATAAACTTTCCGGAACTTTCAACCTAAATTTATTTATTTAATAATTAAATATTCACAACTTGTGTCGTATGAAAAAGTAAAAACCCTAAACGTCCTTCCCTTTCCTGCGCATTTCTCTGCAGCTTGCACCCTACACTCCATAGATCAATCGCTTCTGATTCCCCACCTTTGGGATTAAACAGCAGGATATGGCATCGTTTGAGCAAGCACCACCAGGCGATGCAAAAGCTGGAGAGAAGATCTTTAAGACAAAGTGCGCTCAGTGCCACACCGTCGATAAGGGCGCTGGTCATAAGCAAGGTATACTTATATGCCTAAGCAGATGTATACGTATATGAGTATTATTGTTGTGTTTCATTTTGTATCTTCAGATTCTTGATCCTCCTGCTTCTCAGTTTGTCATATTTGTAGTAATTTCTTTTTGTTGGTTTTCGATATGTTGGCTTTTGGTGATATTACTTGTTGTCGTTAATCTTCTGCATCTTTATTGCCTAGATCTGATTTTCCTAGATCTAGGGGGTCTTTTTCTACTATTCGATTTGTTCGTCGTTTTTTGTATTTAAGATTTAAGGTTTTATTAATTTGTACGGAGCATTGGGTTTTTTTCCTTTGTCAGGTCATTGAGTTTTCTTCCTTTTTTGTTGCATGTTTAAGTTGAATTTGGACTCGAATGAAACTACCAGTCAAAATTCGTTCATGAGTCCGGATCTGAATATATTGAAAGGTCTTAATGATTACTTTAGATTGTAGAAAACCTATAAAAAGGTATATTTCTCTGTTTAGACCATTAACGGAGATGATTTGGCTCTATATCAATGTGTTAAAATGTTCTAGGGATTATTTTATACTGTAAAATGCTCAATAAAAAATGTTGATGTCTTTGTTTAACTCGTAAACTGATTGAGTTGGCTCTGAATATGTCTGTGAATGTAGTAACTATTTCATATTTATTACTTGAAAAAAATGCTGTGCTATATTATTTTGGAGGTTCTTCTACATGCTTAATTTGTCACATTTGCTTCATTTTTTCATTAAGAATTTAATCGTTATTTTCATGAAGCTTGAAATACTTATTGAGGATTCCATTAGACTAGTTGGTTCACCTGAAGATCGCACACTGTTAATTTTTGAGTCATCTTAATGATTAGTTACATAATGTATTTTTGCAAAATGAATTCTTAATCATGGAACTTAGCATCCAAGTTCGTGTATGAATTTAATGTTTGCAAATAAATGTGCATATGCATGTGCGAGTTAGGTGTGTGTCCTTGTTTGTGTCCCAGGGAATCTATTAAAATTCAATGTATGCAATCTGCAGGTCCTAACTTGAATGGATTGTTTGGGAGGCAATCTGGTACAACTCCTGGGTACTCTTATTCTGCTGCTAACAAGAATATGGCTGTGATCTGGGGAGAGAACACATTGTACGACTACTTGCTTAACCCTAAGAAGGTATATCCCCCCTTCATATTTATTATTATGGGTTTTGATCTGGTGATTCTATCAGACTTGAGGTATCTTATGAAAAATCTAGAGTTTCAGAGATGAAAGACTATAAGAAAGCCACAATTATCTCCCTGGAACCCATAACATAGCTCATAGAGATTGGAGTTAGATTCTGTTTGGATTGAATTTTTTTTTTTTTTTGGTGAAAAGGGTGTAAAACTGATTGTTGTGGGAGAAAGAAGTTAAAATGATGACTGAAAATCATTTGTCATTTACCAAAGAACCTTTTCTTTATTGGGCTTTAAGTGAAAGGTGAAAGCTCGTATTGCTAAAATTTTGAATTTGCCCTGAATTGACCTTCAAAATTATATTCTATGAATTTTGAATCTAAAAGATTATAGATGTCTTTGTTTTTTCCATTTTACAAGAGTTTCAGCTTTAAGGTGGTATTTAGGATTGCTTATGAAGGTGTGTGGATGAAGTTATTTTCTCTGTGATGTATAAGTCTACAGGATTATAGTTGTAAGAAACATTAACATCATAATAAAGTCAGAAAACTGTGTGGATACATTAAATTGAAGTTTTGGTTTTTAGACTTCAATAAGCGATCAACGGTTTGGTAAAATTAGAATTCAATGTTTAAAATTTCGGTTGAATGATCAAAAAGGAAAATTAGTTGCGCTCTTATTTGAAAAGTCTCATATTTTTGTTTTACTAGCTGTCTTTTAGTTAAAAATGTCAAAGGTTTTATTTTTCACTTGAAGCCCTAGATAGAAAGCTGGTCATGGTAGTTTTAACTAGACTGAAGGTTATGTGGCTTTTATTCTTTCTAATCTATATCCCAAAATTGAGTTTTGTTTCAACTTAATCAGTTTAAATCCTTTGACAGTTGAAAATGCATCTTCTGACACCTTCCAAGTATATGTACGCAGTGGTTGATTGAGAAAATTAAGCCTATACTCTTTGGATAGGTAAGCAACAGAAAATTTTAGGAAAATGAACATGCTAAGTTTTTTTTTGGTACAAATAAATGTATGATGATAAATAAGTTACAAAACACTAAAAACATTCTCAGTCTTTAGAAAAAAGTTAGGGGTTGTCTTTTTCTTTTCTGCTTAAAGTTGCATGTAAAAGGCACATGATAAGTGCTAAATTAGCAATGTTAGAAAGTGCTGACAGCTTTAGGGACTAAAAATAATTAATAAAACAGGAAATAAACTTTCTAAGTCAGTCTTTAGAAAAAAAGGAGAATGGGTGCTTTTTTCTGTTCTGCTTAAACATGCATGGAAAAGGCACATGATAAGCCCTAAATGAGCAATTTTAGAAGTTGCATACAGCTTTAAGGGCCAAATTACTATTTATAAGCACCAAATAAGTAACTTAAAACACCTTCTAGAATTACTGAAAACTTGACAACTTGTTAGAGTACAAAAAGTAAAAAAAAAAAGGTTAAGTATCCAGATAAATTGGTATTTATAAGTATCTTATGTATAGTTGCATATAGCCTTAAGCAATAAACATGTTATTAAAAGTTACGTATAAGCACTAAGTCCGTTGTCCAAACACCCTCTAGTTTTACCTAACACTTGAAACTTACTAGAATTTAAGAGATAGGAAATGAGACTCGAGTATCCAAGCACTTACGGTGCTTACAAGTAAATAAATGATGCTTATAATTGGTTGTTGCTTTAAGCATCAACTGCAGTACTCAAAAGCCATTTATAAACCCAAAATAATTAATCCAAACACACCCTAATGACACCAAATAGTTGAGAACTTTCTAGAATCTAAAAAGTAGAAAAAAAGACGTAGTGTCGAAATGTTTTCGGTGCTTATAAGTAAATAAGATATGCTTAAAGTTGCTTACTGGAAGCTGCTTATGAATATGTACGCGAGAACTTATTACACATGACAACTTATTACAGACACTTGAATCAAGTATGCGAGAACTCTTTGTAGTGATAAGTAAATAAGCAACGCTTAAAGTTGCTTATGCTTTAAGCACCAAACTTTATAAGCACAACAAGTACTTGGACAACTTATTGAAGTTTTAGCTTAAAGGAGTCAAAGTATTTAAAACTTTTTCGGCTTAAAGCACTATGAGTTAAAACTTGTTTTAGCTAAAAGCCTTATATACCAAAAATAAAAATGAAGAATCTACTGATACTATGTTTGGATTGAGTGAGGTGAGGAAGCACAAGAAAAACATTTGTTAGAGACACCAAATACTTGTAGATACTAAAAGATAGAAAGAAAGAGTGAAGTATCTAAATTTTTGTTTAAAGCGCTATGAGGTTAAAATTTGGTAGAGCAAAAATCACCATGTACATTATCATATGGATTTCTCTTGATTTTTTCAGCGGTCAATTGGCATGTTTGCTGTGCCTGTAGGCAATCCTGCTTGGACAAGGCAAACAATTGGGAGGCAGGATGCTTGGTTCCCTAGAAACAACTTACTGTACTCTAGATTCTCTCATTTGGTCATTTTTAGAACGGAGGATGCAGTAATAAACAGGAGCAATTCATAATGCAATAATTTATGAAATATTCTTTTTGAATACGTACGTTAGGTGGTACTGAAAATAATGATTGTGAACTATGCGTATAAAATTTATATTTAAATACAAATTTCCCGAAGATGTTATTGTGCTAACTTATTTTTCTGTGCCGTAAAAAAAAAAAAAAAAGAGAAAACAAAATGATCTTTGGGACATCATTAGCGATGGAGGTTAAGTAAACATATTGGTTGATTTAATTTGCAGAAGTGAAAATGCTTGCCTACTATTCATGAGCTGATGGTTTCCATTCTGAAATTTGGTTTTGTTTGCAGTATATTCCTGGGACAAAGATGGTTTTCCCTGGATTGAAGAAACCACAAGATCGTGCGGACCTCATTGCCTATCTGAAGGGAGCCACTGCATAATCGTTTTGCATGGTGTAGGGTATTTTGCAGTAAACCAAAGAGTTTAGAGACCAATTCGGAATTCTTTTTGAAAGGAAAAGAAACTAATATTTATGGAAATAAAAGAAATATTAATGGCTACAATCGTTGAGACCTCCTACATGAGAAATGTCTTGAATTTAATGATTTTTTATTCAAATATATGAGCTGGTGGGCTTGTCGTGTTCAATTTTTTCGGGTGTAATGGTTGTTTTTGGCAGTTGTATCTCATATTTGTTCAAAGAATGGTTCAGAGACTTTTTCTGTTTGAAATGGTTTGTGTGTTGTGTCGTTGGTTTACAGAAATTTAATAGGGGCCATATGGACTGTAGGGAGTTGACTGTTGATAAATTTGGTGAGAGATGCAGGTTTGTTCAGCCTGATCAGTGATTTCATCAGTTATTTAGACTGATGTGAGATACAGGTGTGTTCGATCAGATCGGTGATTTCCTCAGTTATGTACAGATTATAAAAACCGAAAACTGGTTTAACCCGGTTCAGAGGACAAAAATCTATTCCCTAACTGGTTCAAATCTGGCAGCTGAGACTGACCGGATAATTGATTAGATTCTTTTAATACATATTAAATTTTGAAATATAATTAACGACTATAATAAAAAAAAAAAAAAAAAAAAACCCCCCAACTTAGTCAACTCAGTAGTTCCTGCACAACCTATGGAATTATCTCTCACGAAAACAGCTGCTCTTCCTAAATCCCGTTGAATTAGCCTTCCTCCATCTTCTCTGGCTGGCTCACAATTCACAAAACAGCTCCTAAATAAATAAGGTGTATATGGCTGAACGAAACATTATTAAGAAAATGATTAGGGAACTCCTTGATGCTAGTGTTATTCAGCCACTAAAATATATATATATATATATTGTACAAGGATTACTCCTGCAATTATGTTTACTTTATCAACTACTAACATTGCCCAAGTCTAAAGCATCCGTTTTGGTTGGAGCAAAAGAATAGAGAGTTGTTTCTTTTTCTTTGGAGATGAAGAATTGAAAAGCTTATTGCCCAAATGTTAAAGTTCCATTGTGTCGTTTGAACGATAAGGTCAACCTAATTGAGAATCAATTCTAAGGATTGATTTAGAAACTCTAAATACCTCATACTCATCGAGGAGAAAATACATGTCAGAATTGGCTTCCTCCAATTGTTCACAATTAATTGTATGTCTTGTAGTACTAGGACATTAATAAAATTACCTATTTGGATGTGAAATAACTTTGCTTGTATTATCTTGTATAAAAGAATTGGTAGTTAACTGTTGAAAATTAATTTTCTTTATAAGTTTGAATTTAAATATAATTTATTTTATATTTATTTTTTAAATAAAAAATTTATCTTTTGAGAGATTAAATTTATGTTTATTTTTTAGATACTAGTAGAATATTTCTAGAAATTTTAATTTTGTTGTAAATCTATTTAAATATACTTTGAATTATTAATTTTAGAGTTCCTGATTTAAAAATAAAAATTAAAAATTAGTTTTAAGAGCTTAATATTCTTCAATCAATTTTAATTGATATTTAAACATTTTTGCTAAGCTACTTTGCAACTTACACCTATTCCCTTTTATTTTCTGAAAAGCAGTTCCCAAAAATGATTTTAAATTAATAGATTAATGATAATATTAAAGTCTATTTTTCATTGTTATAATAATTAATCGTTTTATTCAGGAATTTCCTGGTAGAGTTTTACCCTTTTAAGGCAATTTTTTTTTTAAAAAAAAAAAAGTAAAAAAAAAAATCATTTCATGCAATTTATTTTCTCTACGACGCGTTGACAATTTTACTTCCACATATACCTGCATGCATATATATATATACATATATACATAATGTATACGTGTGTAATCCAGTACAAAGCAATTACATACGTTATAATTGAGTATTCGCTCTTAAAAATAAATATAATACGGATGATATTTCTTTCTCCAACAAAGATAACATAGTTTAACGAAAGAACTTCCAAGTAGAGGACTACAAGTTGAATGTTAAACATGTGGGCTCATGCACATGGGTGTTTGATAAAATTCAAGAGTAGGAAATTTAGTTATGTGAATGACATATTTTGAAGCAACAAGAAAATAAAGGTAGGTTAAGAATGCGCAACATTTATTTATGCATTACAACAACACTTCTATATTTTTATATGTATTTTTACAAATAATTGAAATTTAATTTTTTTTTTTTTTTATGTACGTGTCTTCAATATCTGCAACTATTATAATATCCGACCCTAAAATTTAATTCGAGATTCATTTTAAAATTAAAAAAATATATAAAAATATAATTTATAAATTTATAAATTTTTATTTAACGTAAAATTAAGAAAAATAAGTTAATGATAAAATTGAAAATAATTTTAGAAAAAATGTGTGAAAATTTGAGTTCGAAATGTATTTTTGAAAGAAAAATTGAAAACTGGAGATTAAAACGCAATTAAAAAAAAAATGCGCCATGTAGGACCGCTCAAGTCAATAGCCCCGACGAACCAGAACGCGCCGCGTGGCAAGGCACGCTGACTCAGTGCCACGCGGGAGGCCAAGCTAGCAATCCGCGTGCCCGCTATCGGACGACTCGGATGTGCTTCTGTGCTCGTGGACAGTCCGGATACGTTCCTTCCTTATGCGCGATCGGACGATCGCGATTAAACGCGATGAACGATCTAGATTCGTTCCTTCTTTAAACGCGATCGTACGGTCGAGATCAAATCGCGATAAATGGTCCAGATTCATTTTTTCTTCAAACACGATCGGACGGTCAAAATCAAATGCGATGAACGGTCCAGATTTAAGAGAGATGGGTATAAATAACTCACTTCACATTGAACCCAAACCCTAGCCGCTAACCCCCCACCGGAAAAGAAGAACTAGTCGTCAGAGAAGGGAGCCGATCGCCGCCCGCCGCCATGTCAGAGTCAACTCCGACCGCCAAAAAATGTAAAAATTCTCCTATTTGCTCGAAATTTGATTTTGAACACTCCCATGACCAAATCGGAGCAAAAAACAACAGCGAATGAGCTGAAAATCGCGAGTAAAGCCCAGCTATGCGGGAAAAACCAAAAATTATCTTCGGTGAGCTCATTCTCGTTTTCCGTTTTGTGTGATTTTTTCACTATTGTGTTCACCATTCTGTTTTTTACAGGTTGACCAAAGAAAAATGTCTAGCTATGAAGGTTAGCCGGCGGAGCCGCCGCACCGAAAAATTCTGTCGTCGTTAAGTTTTTATTTTTTATTTTGTTGATCAAACGAGCCCCCTTAACGTGTTTTCTCACAGGAATTGGTATAAAATCGGCCAAAAGTAGCCAAAACTAGTCGAAAACAGCCAGTCCGAGGTAAACCACCACTACGGAGTGCTGTCGCTGGAGCACGGCGATACCACCATGCCAGAATTCTAAAATTAGCAGTAAAATGTTTTTAACACCGATTTTAGATTTTTTGGGGTATTTTTATGTATGTGAAGCGTGTTTTTACTTATGCAAAAAAATTCAGGAAACCCAAGGACTGCCAGTAAGCGCAGTAGAAAGCTCAGTATTTCGAACACCGATTCGGGTAAAAATCTATCGCCTTATTTTCTGTTATAAAATTGAAGTCTAATTATAAATAATACGATATTTTACGTAATTTAAAAAATTTCGATAATTAATTACAGGTTACTAATGGAGCCGCAACCGGTTATTTATTACTATTTGTCATGTTTTAACTGATTGTTTGATTTTACAGTTTTAAATACATGATAATACACTAGAATTGGTAAGATGATTTATTTGTGTTTTCTTAATGCATGTATTGCTTGTCTTGCGTGATTTACAGTTAAATTATAAAACTGAAAATCAAATGTAAACGAAAAATTACTTGGTTAAGTGAATTAATGAAACAGTTATCTTACTGGATATCCTGGGAGATGATGGACGGACTGGGTACATAGGAAACCCTACCATGAACGTTACTTCATATCAGATAGGGTATCGAAAAATGATATTTTTGGCTCTCACACTAGACGGGATATGGAGACAGACCGATTCACCCTCATATCGGACGAGCTATTAAGGGATAGTACCTTTAGCACTCATACCAGACGGGGTATGGGGACGACCCGATTCATCCTCATACCGGACAAGGTCTGGGGACGACCCAATTCACTCTCATACTGAACATGGTATTGAGGGATGGTACTTTTGGTGCTCATACCGGATGGGGTATGGGACGGCCAGTTAATTGACAAGTTTTGTTATAGGTTCACGTGTTGTGGGATATTCATATAGACTTTCAGGGATACCAGTAAACAAATAAAAATGGAAAGTTGTTATTATGGCTAACTGAATATGAGATTATGATGTTGTTTATGTTATTGCCTCTATAGGTCAGTTTTGAAAATCTCACTACAGTAAGTATACAATAAATGATTTTATTTATGATAAATTAATTTACTTAATTTAAGAGCTCTGTTAGTTGTTTTATGATTTTTTACCAACCTTTATTTCTGTATCGGTGAGTAGTATGATATTCTTATTGTGCTAGTGTAGCTCACCATTTCATTAACCATTTCAGATCAAGATGACCAAGATCCAGATCTCAATCAACAAGGGAGTTGTGAATAGTTCACCACCCGGACTCCCTTCAAAGGTTAGTGAAGGTCGTCCTAGGATACCTAATTGTTTACTTTTCATTTATTTCTTGATTTTTTGTTTGTTCATTTAGAATGGTAATTCCCGTAACCTTATTGGATATTAAAAATTACTGTGTAAGGAATGTAAATCTTAACTCTATTATTTCTCTTCCGCATTCAATTCATGTCTTTATCTCATTTTCAGTTCTGGGCGTTGCAGCTATAGCTACCTCTAAACCATATTATTGTCATGACTGATTTAGCTAAGAACTTTTTAATTCTTTTTTCTTAATTAAAGTTGTAGCTACCTTAGAACCATATCATTAGCATTTTTTTTTTCTCTTAATTAGCAAATCTAAGGCTTTCTTTTTTTTTTCTTTTCTTTTTTTGGGTTTTTTCTTTTCTCTATAATTTTTCTCAAATTTTCACAGTAATATTTTAGTATAGGTAAAAACGGGAGAGAGACAGAATTAACAATAGAAATTAAGGGTATCAAAATGAAACGGTGGGGAGGAGGTAAGCATTTTAAATGGGTAGGATTTTAGCTGGACTGGGTATAAAAGCTAGGTTCTGAGTTGAAAAAAAAAAAGAAAAAAAGAAAAAAAAAAGAAAGGGAAGAAGATGAACTAGGTCGAAATTGCCTAAAAAATTTAAGAAAAATGAAGATTTGAGTGAACTGCCGCTGAAGGATAGGAAATGGAAGTGAGAGGTAAGAAAATTTAGAATTTCAGACTCTATTATGGTAAAGTATGTTTGGATCCCTACTTTTCTGGTCTTGAATGTCGATTGAGTCATGTTACAAGTAGTGAGTTGTGTGATGGATACGGAACCGGACTGGAGACACTAGATTAAAT